AGCCAGGCATTGTGGCGGGCTCCTGTGGTCCCAGCTACTTGGGAGGCAGAGGCAGGAGACTTGCTTGAGCCCAGGAGTTGGAGGTTGCTGTGAGCTGTGATGTCCAGGAGGACAGCTTGAGGCTCTGTCTTTTAAAAAAAAAAAAAAAGGACAAATTCCTCTGTCCCCCAATATTTTATTTTTAGAAAAATATTTTACTTGAGGAATTTCATAGATTGGTGTCACCAGCAGGTACAAAGGAATTAAATGACATATTACATTCAGCTGGAGCAGGCATTGCAGTGATGTGGGAAGAGGAGTTGACTTTAACTTACCAGAGTGTTGAGATTACATGTCAGGCCAGTGTGTGTACACAGAGCCTCAGGTGGTGGCATGGGGCAGAGGGTGATGGGCTGGGTAGGGGGAATTCCTTCCCAGTCAAAAGCCATTTTAATAAACTTGTGCCTCCTTAGTGGAAGAGCCCATGGGTCCTTGAGAGAGCCAGCACAGTGGCAGTCACCACCCCCAAATGAGCCATGACAGGATCCTCATTCTACCAGGGGGTTACAAATAACCAATTGAGGCCGGCTGTGGTGGCTCACACCCTTAATCCTAGCATTCTAGGAGGCCAAGGCGGGAGGATCCCTTGAGCTCAGGAGTTCCAGACCAGGCTGAGGAAGAATGAGACTCCATCTCTACTATAAGTAGAAAAATTAGCCAGGTGTTGTGGCGGGCACCTGTAGTCCCAGCTACTCTGGAGGCTGAGGCAAGAGGCTAACTTGAGTCTAGGAGTTTAAGGTTGCTGTGAGCTATGAGTCCATGGCACTCTCCCCAGGGCAACAGAGTAAGACTCTGTCTCAAAAAAACGAAACAAAACAAAAAACCCCCAAACAAATAACCAATCAAGGACTTTTGGTTTCATAATGAAAGAAATTGCCGGAAGTTGCTGACTCTTAGTTTATGTTCTAGATGTGTTAAAGTTAACATTAGCTGCTGTCATAGGCCTTAAATTAAAATCTCAGTAGATGGTCCTTTTTTTGTTTGTTTGTTTTGAGACAGTCTCAGGTTTCTTTTCTTTTCTTTTTTTTAGAGACAGAGTCTCACTTTGTCACCCTCAGTAGAGTACTATGACATCACAGCTCATAGCAACCTCCAGCTCTTCGGCTTAGGTGATTCTCTTGCCTCAGCCTCCCGAGTAGCTGGGACTACAGGTGCCTGCCACAACACCCAGCTATTTTTTGTTGCAGTTTAGTGGGGGCTGGGTTTGAACCGGCCACCCTGGGTATATGGGGCTGGCACCCTACTCACTGAGCCACAGGCGCCACCCTTGAGACAGTCTCAAGCTGTTGCCCTCAGTAGAGTTCTGTGGCATCACAGCTCACAGCAACCTCAAACTCTTAGGCTTAAGCAGTTCTCTTGCCTCAGCCTTCCAAGTAGCTGGGACTACAGGCGCCTGCCAAAACGCCTGGGTATTTTTTGTTGTTGTTGCAGTTGTCATTATTTTAGCTGGCCCAAGCCAGGGTTGAACCCACCAGCCTCGGTGTATGTGGCCTGTATTGGAGCCATTGTTTGGGCACTGCCAGATGGTTCTTTCTTGCTCATTCACAGTCCACTTAGTTGGGGTAGAGGAATCTCTGGTCTTGCAATTATTCAAGGGTCCACACTAATGTAGACGCTGCCTCAAGACAGGGCTTCCAAGGTTGCCCTGAGTTTGGAGAGAAAGAGAGAGTAGACAAAGCCTCTCACAGGAGGTTTCCATGGGGTAGGCCTAGAGGTAAAGCAAGTCATTTCTGCTGGCTTCCCATTGGCCAAATGGGATCTTGATCTTGTGGCCAAACACACCTCGAGCTGCCAGGAGGCTGGGAGCATCCAGCCACATACCAAAGAGGCAAAGAAACCAGTATAATGAACAGCTGTCTAAGGTCTACCACAAGAAGTAAACAGATTGTGATCTCTAATCCTTCCTCATCACCTTAGGTTACTAGAATGATGTGTGACCAATGTTTCCCATCTCCCAGGGGTACCAGCTGTGGTTGTGACGATCATCCTGACTATATCTCCAGATAACTATGGCCTTGGATCCTATGGGAAATTCCCCAATGGCTCACCAGATGACTTGTGAGTACTAAGCCTTCTGAGGGAAGGTTAAGCCAACTGGAAAATGGAATTCTCCAAGAAAACGGAGAATGCGATGAGCATATTCACTTCTGTTGTCATCCTAGTAAAACCCAACAATATTTAACAGCAGCCTTCACAGTCATGGGTAACGAGATAAGCTAGTTGGAAATGCCACGCTACTATTTAGGTGACCATTAGGGGGATCTGTTTTGAAAAATACATGTATGAATTAGGAGGAACTATTTTGAAATTATTTTCATTAGCCTCTGATAAAAATGCCCTCCAGTTACATTACATTAGAACTCATGGAATAGAGTTACTAGGATTTGCAGGAGTAAAATCCTGAATGTTTAAATAATAGTCTATATAAAAATCCTTTTAACCATCAAGTCTCCTAAAAGAAACTTCGGTTCTTTTCCCTAGTGCTATCAATAGCTGTAGAGAATAGCAGTTTTATCATTTTTGTCTCTTGTGCTCATAGAAAATGTTTCTGTCAAACATCACAGATGCATGGTATCATTTTGAACTCTAGTTCGTCATTGTCATTTGTTTTCCACTGTTTTTCCCCCGCCCCAAATTCCAGTTGCTGGATCAACAGCAACGCAGTGTTCTACATTACAGTTGTGGGCTATTTCTGCGTGATATTTTTGCTGAACGTCAGCATGTTTATCGTCGTCCTGGTTCAGCTCTGTCGAATTAAAAAGAAGAAGCAACTGGGAGCCCAGCGGAAAACCAGTATTCAAGACCTCAGGAGTATTGCTGGCCTTACATTTTTACTGGGAATAACCTGGGGCTTTGCCTTCTTTGCCTGGGGACCAGTTAATGTCACCTTCATGTATCTCTTTGCCATCTTTAACACCTTACAAGGTAAGCTGCACAGCAGTAAATACATTCCCAAATTGGATGATCCCAGCTGAATATAAAAATTCACCTACTGAACCAGAATAGGCATCCCCCAGTAATGTTACAGGTTTGCTTCCGGACCGTGCCAGTAACACAAACATCACAGTGAAGCGAGTCTCACAAATGCTTCGGTTTCCCAGTGCGTATAAAGTTTTGTTCCTCTTATACTGCAGTCTATCAGGTATACATTAGCATTAAGTCTAAAACGTATATATGCGTTAATTTAAAAATATTTTATTGCTGACAACTGTCAACACAGAGATAAGAAATGAGCACATGCTGTTGAAACAATGGCTCCAGTGGACTCGCTCAACACAGGGTTGCCATGAACCTTTAATTTGTAAAAGAAAAAAAAGCATTAACTGCAAAGCCCAATAAAGCAACATACAATAACACGAAGTATGCCTGTATATGCCAAATAGCTTATTTATGGTATCAACCAAAGAATCGCAAGGTTGATAAATTTGAAGAAAAGAGCTTTATTTCTTACAAAGGGTTACAGTCTGCACACTGGCTACCCCACAGGCTGGGAAGTGTAACCCTTGGCAGAACCCTATAGCGGGCACTTTTAAGGGAGAGAAGGGTGGAACGGGAATGCATGGTAAGTATACATATTTAACAGGTCATAGGAGGGGCTATGAATATTCATGATGGGTTCATGTGCATGCATAGTAAGCAAACATGCATGTTACATGAGTCCCATGGTCAGTTTGGGGTGGAGATGTAACATTTAAATACATATTCTCTATGGGTAGGTCATAAGGTGAAGGGGACGGCACAGAAGTACCCTGTGCATGGCCTCCGTCAGGCCGAACCAGTCCATGGCCAGTGGTCTTTTACCAAGAAGGAGCACTGGTGGGGTCAAAAAGGGAGGGGAGTCCCACAGGCAGTTGGCTGAAACCAGCAGTGGTACAAGTCTTTCAAAGGGGCTGGGTTTTGTTTAACTTTTAGGAAAGAAAGAGAGAAAGACTAATGGCCGAGTGGTTAGTGCAGGAGGGGTATAATGAGGCTCGGCTGACCTCCCTTCCTATCTTGGCTAGGAACTCAGTTTTTAGGGTTTCACTGGGGGCCCCTTGGCCAAGAGGGGGATCCATTCAATCGATTAGGGGGCTTAGGATTTTATTTTTCTCTGTGCCTTAAGATATTTTCATTGCAAAACAGGCACGCATCATCAAGAAAGAGGGCTTTGAGAGCCTTAGAAGAAAGGTATTTACTAAATTCAAGAAATGGTGCTGCCTTTTCTCCTTATCCGTCATTTTCTCCTCAGAGAAACCATATTGAGGAGAAGCCGCAAGGAACTCTTCCTGAGACAGCCAATTATTCTTCCTTCACTTGGTTCCTTTTTAAACCCCCAAACAAAACAAGAAACCTCTTTCTTTAAGTAAAACATGCATACCAAAAAGCACCCATACCATAAATGTCCCTGTGAGGGCTCACTACCCTGACTGCCTAGGTCAGGGTTTGATTCAAAGTCAATGATAAATGGGAAGGGAATAAATAGGCCCCAGTGGCAGTAGTCTTGCCCAGGGCACAATCTGAGAAGTTGCTGGGACACCAGGAGGCGGGGCAGGCTCTGCTTCTTGCCCCTGGTCAGTTTGGAACCCACAAAGTCGTATTCTTTAGAAAATCAAATTACTAATTGTTTTAGGGCAGAGTTATGAAAGACTCGTCAGCTGTTAGTTTTTCATGGAAGGTCTTTAGCCTTAAAAGCCCATCTGGCAGATAGGTTTACATTACAGTGATTCACTGTCCCCTGGTTTCGTTTTATTCCAAATCCTCTGCTGAGATGCCTCTTACTTGCATTCTCATCTGCTTGTTCTAGTTCCCGTAATGTCCTCCTGTAGCTCTATCTGGCAACAGATAATTTTTTTTGGTTTTCGAAAAACATCCCAACCTGTCCTTAAATTCAAATGGCTGGTTAGGCCTTGATTCTTACTTTATTTGGAGGAAGCCAGCAGATAATCTTGTGTGGTGATATACAGTTATTAAGTTTTACCTACAATATACCAGTTCCTGAATTGGCATGTCCAGGTGTTATACTACATAGTATTAAATACAAACTCCTCCCCACCCCACCCCCAGGCAAATTCTTTGGAAGGGTTTAAATGGAAAGTTTTATTTGACAAGGGCATACTAAAACCGATAGACACTACAAAAGAGAAATATATATGCCCACATTACACTAATCATTAAAATGAAAGCAAAATACCTACCTTCATAACATGTTTCAGGTAGAAACCAAATCTGCCTCTTTCTTCATTTCTCCAGAACATCTTTATTTATTGATTTATTTTTTTCAGTTTTGGGCCAGGGCTGGGCTTGAACCCACCACCTTCGGCATATGGGGTCAGCACCCTACTCCTTTGAGCCACAGGCGCTGCCCACATCTTTTTCTTTGAATATGAATGGATGGAAAGAATTTATTGCTTCATCTGCAAAAGGCAACTAGTCTTAATTCCCAGGGTTTTGGGGTTGATGAAAGTAGAGATATGCATAGGTTCTAATTTGAGCCTCTCTCATACATACTGTTTCTCTCCTAATGCAAGCCTCCCAGGGTGGCAAATGAGCGAAGGTGTGCAATATTCAGACATCAGTCTTAAGGGCAGTCATGTGTACTCTACTGTAAGCCAACCTGGTATTTTTAAATGAAGGTTTTAAAGTAGATAGTGAAGAACTCCGAATTCATCCATTCATTCAGCAAGTATTTATTGGTAGCGATGGGGCTGTGTGGGGAGCCCTGGGCTGTGTGAGGAGCCCTGGCCTGCATGACTAGGTGCCCAGGTTGGCCAAGAGGCAGGGAACCCAAGAGCCCCTTCAGGTCTCCAGCTTGTTCTCCATGCCAGGAGAGTTTTCTCCACCAAGTTAGAGGAAGGTAGGCAGGTAGACCAGTATGCTACTGTAGTGTCCTAGTCCCAAGCAAGGGAATTGGTGGTGAATTTGAGGGGGAAGATAGAGAGAATTGAAGATGTGCAGAGAAGATGGCACTTGAAATGACTTGGAAATAGATAATAAATATGGAGAAAGGGACAGGCAAGAGCCTACCTCCAAGCTGGGATCCCAAGTGGAAGGCTTGTTCCAAGATGGGAAAGGCCAAGGATAGAATGTGAAAGGAGAGACAGTGAATGTAATTTTGGAAATGTGAAGTTATCGTCCCTTTTATAAAATATTATTTACTTTACAAAGATTAAAAAAGGAATTCCCCAGTGCCTTTCAATTTGCAAAAGTTCACTTAACCCATAGATGCCAACGATCTTATCTTTTGTGCAAAGTAAGCTTATGACATTCAGATCTTAGTTTGGAATTCATTGTATTATGGCTTTTTCCCCCCTCTTTAGGATTTTTCATATTCATCTTTTACTGTGTAGCAAAAGAGAATGTCAGGAAGCAATGGAGGCGGTATCTTTGCTGTGGGAAGTTACGGCTGGCTGAAAATTCTGGTAAAGAGTTGCCTTAACTTTTTCTCCTCTTCTTAAAATCTTGAGAAAAAGATTCTATAAATTAGGATCCAAAGCAATCATTGCCAAAAGGCCATCCAATGTGGAAATCATAGAATGGAGCCTGCTGAATAGAAAATACTAAGTTTCAACTTTGGGGTTGCGGGGTGGGGGGAACCTAGTGAATTAAAAAATAATTATCTATAAAGCCAGGTGCAGTGGCACACGCCTATAGTCCCAACTACTTGGGAGGCTAAGGCAGGAGGGTTGCTTGAGCCCAGGAGTTCAAGTCTAGCCCAAGTAACATATCAAGGTCCTGTCTCTTAAAAAAGAAATTAAAATAAGTATTTATATTTGGGAATTCTGTGAGCAATAGGATTAATGACCTCACCGCTTCCTGGGTGAAGCACCAGTGAAATTTTTTTTCTATGGAGCTCATGTTTTTTACTTCCCAAAGTAATTTTTACTATTTACCTTGATAATTTCCTTCTCTTAGACACAGTCTCACTCTGTCACCCTGGGTAGAGTGCTGTGGCATCATCATAGCTCATAGTAATCTCAAACTCTTGGGAGTGAGCAATCCTCTTGCCTCAGCCTCCCGAGTAGCTGAGACTACAGGCGCCTGCCACAACACCCAGCTGCTCTATTTTTAGTAGAGAAAGGGGTCTTACTGTTGCTCAGGTTTGTCTCCAGCTCCTGAACTCATGCAATCCATCTGCCTCAGCCTCCCGGAGTGCTAGGATTACAGGCATGAGCCACCGCACCTGGCCCTGCCTTGATAATGTTTTAAGTCTCCACTCAGTCCTTTCTCCACAGATCCTGGTTGTCAGTGGCTTTATTTGTTAGTAAGCCAGACTTTGTATATAAGCCTTAGCATGTATTTGGTTATTTTGAAGTTATTTTCACGTATGTCCTGTTGGGTAGGAGAGCAGATCAGATTGTTCATTTTTGAAGAAAATGAGAAAAATGAAGTACTGTTTGAAAAATTAGATTCCTTTGCCATGAATACCACCTTTGCAGTATCTGGGGGGGCATAGGAGCCTATACTTAGAAAACAGCAGTCCACATAGTGCAGTCATTTCCATAGATTTAAGAACCATTGGTCATGACGACGATTGATATTCTTGCTAATACAGTATAAGCTCTGAATTACTCCCTAACTCGGTAGATACTGATAGACACCATCAAATTAGCTTAGCCTTTAGGTTAGGAAAATTTAAGTTCCTTTCAACCAGGCAGTCATTTGAAGGACAGATGTATATAATCTAAACGAAAATACATTTTATCACAGCAACATGTGAAATGGGTGACTTCTCTGTAAAACCCCAAAGTGAGAAATCAGTTGCTAGGACTTGTTACACTGTGATCTGTCTCTTGCATTTGAGCTTCAACGTACCGCCCTGTTTTTCTGTAATGCTTATTCTGCTGTAGACTGGAGTAAAACTGCTACTAATGGTTTAAAGAAGCAGACTGTAAACCAAGGAGTGTCCAGCTCTTCAAATTCCTTACAGTCAAACAGTAACTCCACTAACTCCGCCACACTGCTAGTGAATAATGATTGCTCAGTACACGCAAGCGGGAATGGTATGTATGTCTCAATATAGTATTTCTCAAGCTAATGTTTATTTTTAGAAGCACTTTTATCCTTTAATGGCATTTTCGCTAGTATATATGACTAGTGGATCAAAATGTGGTTCCCTTACAACAGAGGACGTTTATTCATCCAGATTTATTTATTTTAGAGCAAATACTGAAACAACGATCTTTTTTTTTTCTTTTTTCACAATGGGAATGAATGGCGACCTCAGAGTTTTAACAGATCCAATCCTCATTGAAGAATTTCCCAAAGACTTAAATACGGTGCTATTTCTGTGAGAGCGGTACCTAAAATAGCCAATACGACTATATCCATTTTGATTCCATCTGTGATCGTACACATCTTCAACACTTTTGAACCTTCCTGTTTTTTCGCTTTTCATGTTTGTTAGTTCCTTCTCACAGGGGGCTGCCTTGTGACAGCACCCAAATCCCCATGAATACACCCAAAACCGGAAGATGAACTGTGACCAGTATTGGTGACCACACGTGGCACCAGTATGTGGACAGATTATTGCTGCTACGCCTCCTTCACTCATCAATTCTGACATTTCTAGCTAACCCTGCTGTTACATTTCCTTTCCTAAGACTGGGCTGTTCATTAAAGCTGATCTGTTTTCACCTTCTTTTGCTTCTTAATATATCTGTTGCATTTTTATTAAAACTTAATTTCTGCCAGCATGCTTTCTCCTTGCATGGAGAAAATTTGCCTTTATTCATCATTGTAGGATATTAGTCCTTTTCATAACTGATTCAGATGCATGTGTAAAGAGGTTGGTTTCTACATTTACAAAATAGTTTTCCAACCTTCCCTAAAACGGGAGGTTTGCTGGTTTGTCTAGACCAGTGATTTTCAACCGGTGTGCCATGGCACACTGGTGTGGCATGAAAGGATCTTAGGTGTGCCGTGAAAATGTTTAAAGATCATTAAATTATTTTTGAAAGAAGTTCAAAGCACAGTAAGTATATTCTTTTCTTTCAACTCTTCTTTTTGATGAACATAATTTAAATATGCCACAAATGTTTAAGTACAGGTTCAAGTGTGAAAAGGTTGGAAAACACTGGTCTAGACTTTTAACATATACATAAGGGCTCGGTGCCCATAGCTCAGTGGTTAGGGCGCCAGCCACATACAACGAGACTGATGGGTTTGAACCTGGCCCAGGCCTGCTAAACAACAGTGACAACTACAACAAAAAATAGACGGGTGCCGTGGTGGGTGCCTGTAGTCCCAGCTACTTGGGAGGCTGAGGCAAGAGAATCGCTTAAGCCCAAGAGTTTGAGGTTGCTGTGAGCTGTGACACCACTGCACTCTACCAAGGACGACATAGTGAGACTCTGTCTCCAAAAAATAAATAATAAAATAAAATAAAATAAATAAAAATAAAATTAAAATACAAATAGGATGACTCAAAATCAAGGTTTCTCATCCCCGGCACAATTGATGTTTGGGGCTGGATAATTCTTTTTTGTGGACTTGACAATGGTTACCAGCATTCCTGGCCTCTACCCCCTAGAACCAGTAGCACCTCGCCCCACATTATGACAACCCAGAATTTCCTCAGACACCGCCAACTGTCCCTTGGGGAGTAAAACTGCCCTGAGTTGAGAATCACTGCTGAAAATGGTGAAGAAACAGCTGCCATGTGGCCTCTTCACTGTCAATACCAAAAGGAAAGATCTAGGCTCTGTGCCAAGTAGGTATATCAGGAGTGACTCAGCGCAAGTAAGCAGAGTGGAGGCAGTGGGTGTCAGGCTGATTAATGAGTTAGTGTGGGAAGGCCAGCTGATAGTAGAGAGATCAAAGTGAGCTGGGCCATCAAGAAGCCTTAGAATCACAACATGTGTTTTGGGCTCTTCACCCATAAATCAGATTTTTCCTTCTTTTAGAAAGAACTCAGAGATAAAGCCTCACTTGCCCAGCCCTATCAATGTGTTGCCATCTTCTTGAGAAAATGGATTTGAGGGAAGCAGCACATTTTCACACAGCTATTTTTGATGCCTGGCAATGAGGGTGGGGGACATTTTAAGGCCACCAAAATGGCTGCGATCAATACTGCATAAACGTGTCAGCTGTACGTTCCCGACTCCTTTGTTCCTTGCACTGGCATCCGGGGTGGATGAAGAATGGAACTGGTAATTTCAAAACCAGAAGCTTGTAAGTTTAATGGCTTATTATACAGGGTCAAATTGTTCCTGCATCAAAATGTACTCGAGCCAAAATGCTTAAATCCGAACACCTGCCTCAGACAGTCACATGCTCTATTTGAGCTATGTCACAGATGGAGCTGTGTTAACCACATCCATCACCTAGTTTGCGTGACTATGACATATTTCAGTTGTGAGCTTAGAGGCTTGGGCACCAGCAGGCATCTCATTCAGTACATGGGGCCAGTACCCAGATTGGAAGCAGCATCACATGTTGACTCCATCACTGACCTGTGTAGCCTTGGCAGAGCACTTAGTATCTGATGCCCTAGTTTCATCATCTGTGAAATGGGCTTAAGAATCCTGTAGGGTTATAAATGAGAGAATACTCAGTGATATTATTGTCACTCTTGTTATAATTATGTCATGAACTACCAAATTGGCTTATTCAGCTTTCTATGTTGTCTCCCAATGGGATAAAGGTCAGAAGGATGGTGCCTAGAAGATCCCCTACAATTCTTAGGGTGGGGAAGAGCTAAGTCTAAACCCCAGTTACCTTAGAATGCCCAGCTCTCTGTCCTGGACTCTTCAGTTGGAATTGGTGGTTTCCTCTTGGAATAAGTCCTGATTTTAGTGAGAGGGGCTGGTTGACTCTACAAGAGAGATGATTTCTTCTTGCTATGACTATTGGGGCTAGTTGCTTTGAGTTCCCCTGGTACAGAGTTTCATTTTATAGGAATCTAGGGGACTAAGACATTACAAGGCACCTATGGGGATTTCTGCTAACCTTAACCTTTTGGGGTAGACCAAACTATTACCTTAAGCTATGTTATATATACGCTACTATTTGAAGTCCATATATGTTCAACCAGAGTTAGGAAATGGCCTTTTAAAATATGTATATGGCTTTGCTTCATACTTGGCACATTCCATTAAAAAACACTGCCATAAGAGAACTGGTTTCTCAATCAGTCTCCAATTTGGTAATGTTTACTTCGAGTGGCCTTAGGGAAGGAATGAAAAATGAGTCAAATGTGAATATATATCATAAATATCTTTAAAAAGACATGTTTTATATACACACACTTAAGAATAAAGTGATGTTTGGCTTTGAATGCTTTCTGTGGGGACTTCATGCCACGAACCTTTTTTTCCCTTACGTAGGAAATGCTTCTACAGAGAGGAATGGGGTTTCTTTCAGTGTTCAGAATGGAGACGTGTGCCTTCACGATTTCACTGGAAAACAGCACGTGTTTAATGAGAAAGAAGATTCCTGCAATGGAAAAAGCCGGATGGCTTTCAGAAGGACTTCAAAGCGGGGCAGCTTACACTTTATTGAGCAAATGTGATTTCCTTTTTCTAAAACCAAAGCTTGATGCTTGACAGTGTGAAATGTCTGGTTTTACCTTTTTACACAATGTGAGATGTATGAAAATCAACTTATTTTATACTCGGCAACCTCTCGAGGAGCGTAAGCTAATGGAGGGCAATGATTACTATTAGAAGAGTAAACCAAGACAGTGTACCATGATTTTTAGACCTCTGTGATTTGTTTTCTCCTTCATTTCAATAGAAGGTTGATTTAAAGCAGCGCACTAAGAATAAGCCTCCTGTCTTTAGAAAAAAAATAGTTAATTTTCAGTCACATGTTAAAGAGGCTGAGTTACCTTTGATAACATCATGTAAAGCAACCGTGGACTTCAGCCTGTTGGTGAGTTTAGTTGTGCACGCCTTCGTTGTATATAAGCTAACTCTCGTCACCTACATGTCAACAATCTTACTTCTACATTTTTGTATTTATTTTCTACTGTGTAAATTTATTCCTTCGTAGAATCATGGTTGTGTTGTTTTTGTCTAACGTGATAATTCAGAAAATCCTTATTAGCTCAGTGAATTCTACGGCTCCTTTTAGAGATTATATGGGATGTGAAATACTGAAACCTCACTGAAATCAAGAAATGATGATACCAGCCAGCCTGGGAAAATATAAGCAGAGGATGCCACATTTAGCTCATACACTGCCTTTGAGCAGGTTAGAATAAGATGCCCTCTCTGGGCAGACACAGCCCCATGGTATCATGGTTTGCCCAACAGAGCAGGGGCCATATTTTAGCCCCACTCACCCTCTTGGGTGCGTTCTTATGCAGGGTAAGACCTGTACAGCCTACGTGGCATCCAATACTCATCCCCATCTCCTGATCTCATCCCCAAGGACCACATTATGGAATCAGCACCAACATGGCCACAGAGAGGGATGGAACTGTAATCTAGACTATATGTCAGCAAAATTGTGAACACACTTGAGATACACACACTGCCGCTTCTCCGATCTAAAAGCCTTTCAGAAGAGAGGAGTAGTCTAGGATTACTTTTTAAAAGAGTTATATATATCGTGGCGCCTGTAGCTCAAAGGAGTAGGGCGCCGGCCCCATATGCCGGAGGTGGCAGGTTCAAACCCAGCCCCGGCCAAAAACTGCAAAAAAAAAAAAAGAGTTATATATAAGGAAGAAAATCATTGCCGTCGTTAAAAAAAAAAAGGCAACTCCGTGGTAGGTACATTGTTGATTGTTACGACTGGTACAGTGTGGCCCAGCCAGAGCTATAATTTTTTTTTTAATGTGTCAAGTCTTGAAGAGTGCATAGTGACAAGAGGGAGCAGCTTTGGGGAACAGTGAAGTGTCCTGCAGTGCTGTCGTTTCCATATGTATTAAACCTTGATTGCTCCTAGTAATATAGGGTCTATCTTGCTTCCCACTTATACCTGCTTGAGCACGGCCTCAAGTATGTCTTTATTAGGGACATTTCATAGCCTTTAGTTAAGTCTTTCACGAAGGTTCCCTTGCATATATTTCAGGTGACTGTTGTACCCCGGACTGACCGTAATGATACCATAATACATTTCTGTGAGTGCTGATTTGCCTTTGCAATATTTCTTCTCTGATTTATTTAATTGTCTTGTATTTATATGTTAAATCAACAAAAATGTTAAAAATCAACGCAATAAATTTGCATTTGAATTCTTTAAGTTGAGTAACTTTCACAAAGAGGACATTTGCAACGTCCTTCCCTGGTGGTGTGGCATGGAAGTGGTAGGGCATGCCTGATTCAGACAGACATGACGGTGACATCCTGGGGAAGCGGCAGGCACCCTGTGACTAGGAAATCAGAGCAAGGGTGGTTCTGCCTCATGACATCAGCTTCTGAAGCCTTTTTCATTTTCCTATGTCTCTTTCAAGATTCTCTCTTCAACATGTTGCCTCTGGCCTGTAGGCAATGTACAAGACCCAATTCAGACCCCATCCACGTACCTGCTTCCTCAGCATCAAACAGCAGGATCTCAGGAGTGTGAGGATAGGATTTGGGATTTCTTTGCTGGTTACCATGTACAAGCCCTACTAGGTGAAGCTGGCCTCACCGCCACAAGAGGTCCCTGAGCAATATCTCCTTCCAAGACCCTTAGCTCTCACGAAGATTCTGAATACTAAATGGATAAGATGTGATATACTCAAGACTAGGGCGGGGAGGGAGGTAAGACCTCAGAAACCAATTTCCTCAAGCAGATGATGTAACCAAAGTATACATAAAGGATGTAACATGTCCAATGTCCTTGAGATCCTCACCCCTTCTGTTTCCTATTGCATTTTGTGTGTGGGTTGTGGTCCTCAAGCCAATTTCAGACAGACATGGGGCAGGACAGAGAGAGAATGTTTCAGAGAAACATCCTCCTTTGGATTTAAAATTGGTCCCACAGGCTGGATGCAGTGGCTCATGCCTATAATCCTAGCACTCTGAGAGGCTGAGGTGGATAGATTGATTGCTTAAACGCAGGAGTTTGAGACCAGCCTAAGCAAGAGTGAGACCCCCGTCTCTACTAAAGGTAGAAAAACTAGTCAGGTGTTGTGGAGGGTACCTGTAGTCCCAGCTACTCAGGAGGCTGACGCAAGAGGATCTCTTAAGTCCAGGAGTTTGAAGTTGCTGTAAGACAACCATGGCACTCTACCCAGGGCAATAAAATGAGACTCTGTCTCAAAAAAAAAAAAAAAATTAAATTGGTCCACAATCTCAGGCTCTATTATAAGGAGACAAAGGTAGTACCAATATTAAGAGGTGAGGAGTGCCAGAGCAATGGCCAGTATTTGAAGAAGTATTTCCTCAGAAATTCAGAATTCCCCTCACCCCAAAACACTACAGTCATTAATCCCACAAAGGAACTCTCACTGACTTCAGTGAGTAGCATCGTGATTATGCTCATCAAAAACGGTGAAACAGCTTCACTTGGAAGACTGGGTTGTGTCCACTGAGGTCACCTAGGAGGCAGGTCAGTTTGTTGAAGGCCACTTGGACAAAGACCTAATCTACTGAATGACCAATTGACCAAGTAAACTTGTTTGGGGTCATTTTGTCTCCATAACAGTATTTATTTATTTGTTTATTTTTTAAGAGACAGAGTCTCACTCTGTCACCCAGGCTGGAGTACAATGACATCCTAGCTCACTATAACCTCTAACTCCTGGACTCAAGTGATCCTCCTGCCTTAGGCTCCCGAGTAGCTGGGACTACAAGCATGCTCTACCATGCCCAGCTGATTTTTTTTTTTAATTGTTTGTAGAGATGGTGTCTTGCTGTGTTGCTTAGGCCTCCAGTGGGCGTGAGCATCCATGCCTGGCCTATAATAGCATTTTAAGGACTATTTAGCTTTTCTCTGCCTCAGCTCCTCACTGCTGCAGCTGGAGTCTAAAGGACAGAAAAGGAAGGTGTAAGAACATAAAGTGTGAAGGATTCTTATCAATATATATATTTTTCTTTTCACCTTAGTCTCCAGGTACTGCATCAAGAAATCAAGGCAGACAAAAATTGAGTATATATTCCTCCAGAATATAGTCTTTTGAATATATTTAATAAATACAATCCTTGCCGTAATGAAATCTTAGGCTTGCTGGTAGTTCTTCTGCTTATCTCTCAATCTCAAACTTGCTACAAGAAGCCAGAGGAGAAACAAATACAACATTCTTTAAATGTTACAATGAAAAACAAAATGACCTCCAGCCAACTAAAGTTAAATTGCCATAGAAATGGCTAACTTTGGTGAAACAGTCATTTTCAGTGAATTAATTCACAATTGATCCTGTTTTCTGTGTCAAAGATGGAGTGAACTCTCCAAGAGAAACATTTATTGGTTTCTACCTTGGATGCTGAAAACTGCTTTAGCTGAAGCTCCCGAGGCAGGACCACGGGCAGACCCTCTGGTTGGGGTCAGACAAGTCATACGTGGTGCCACTCCATGGTCAGGTTGTGGCTTTTCATCTTAAGATCATAAATCAGTGTTAGAAACGAATAATGACATTCCCCATCATATCCCCAAACCACTTCGTGACAAATGTTGAAGAAATGACTTGGAGACAAGTTTCTATTGGGTGATAAACAGAGAAAGGCTTCATGGATATGGAGATTTTGTAGCTCAGGGACATAAGCATACCGCAATAGGAGACTTCATTTTTATATAGCATGGCTTGCTAGTCCAAAATGAATCGCTAAAATTCTCTTGGAAATTTAAAAGCTAAAAAGTGGTAGCCTTCCTCTTTGGTTTTATCCCAGAATTTTGAGCTTATTGAAAAACATAGCTTATACAATAATACACATTTAAAGGACACACCAACGCCTAAGGATGTAGACCGGCCATCCACCAAAAGGGATGGGGTGTGTGTGTATAGCAGAATTAGCAAATAATGAGATCGAAAAGTTGAAAATGGGCCAGGTGCGATGGTTCACACCTATTATCCTGGCACTCTGGGAGGCTGAGGCAGGAAGAATGTTTGAGCCCTGTAGTCTGAGGTTGCTGTGAGCTAAACTGACACTATGGCACTCTAGCCTGGGCAACAGAGTGAGATTCTGTCTCCAAAAAAAAAAAAAAAGTTGAAAATGTTTCTGTACTAGGTGGAAATGCTAAGTAATGAGTAATGATCATCAATTATTTCCACCATGTCTGCAAAATGGACTCCAGAAGAAGCATTCAATAAGAACAAAAGCCATAATAAAAAGAAGCAGGGATTCCAGCTTTTAGACATAGAATACATCAAAGTTCTATTACTAGTAAGAGTACATATGCTAATGACTTCAGATTCCCAAATAGATTTTATGATGAAAACTGTATGTCTAGTTTTATTTACCCCTTAGACCACAGCAAATTCTGCATGGAGGCACATCACTTGGTTTGCAGCATAATTCAAGAGCCAATATTAAGAAACAGAATGCATGTGAGCTGATGAGGGGGTTGGTGCTTTAGTCAAGTGACAGAGTAAACCACACACTTTTGTTCTGGATTATCTAACATGAACTTGGCTAAGGACCAAACATAGGGGGGCCCAGCTAAGCAGGACTGATTTTCATCCATCCACCCAATCAACACTAGTTGAGCTCCAATACTGTACCAGGCATGGTAGAAGATACCAAAGACTGTTTCAACGAGTAACTTACAATCCAGCTAGAAAAACACACCTCATCCACATATGAAAACATAAATAACAACAGGAGGCAATATGCTATTGACAAATGATGGTGAAAGCTGTTATGGTTTATTACTTTTCTGTAAGCCAGGCTTGTGCTAAATGCTTTATAAGGTGCTATTATCCCCATATTACAGATGAGAACACCAAAGTTTAGTTAAAACAGCATGCCAAAGGTCACACCTTTGTAAATGGCAGAACTAGAATTTCAACTCAATGTGGACTCCAAGTGCTAAGCTCTTACTAAAGAAATTGCTATAGGAAATCAGATAATGGGGAAGGTAAATAGGCAAGAGCCGTGGTGCCCCTTAAGGGAAAAATGGGCCTCATATAGTCAAGGAGAGGAGGAAAGGCTGAATGAGGCCAAGCGTACAATAAACGCATGGAGACTAGCATAGAGCTTGCGGAAGCAATGAATACGTTAATCTAGTCCAGCGAAATTCAAATGTGGGCTAGATTTTGGTGAACAATGAATACTAGGCCTGAAATTGTGAACTGTGGGTAATTAGCAGCCAGGAGAAACTGTCCTAAATTCCTAGTTTCAAGCTGTAGGACCTGTAGGAGATGAACTGCCAGCCTAGCTGGGGAAGCGGCGCCCAAGTGGCTAGATGCCGGGTCGCAGGCGCCAGGGGTGTAGGTGGGAGACCTGCCCGGGCCTTCCTCCTTTCTCTTCCGGGCGGGGCCCCACTAGCCGGGTTCCACTTTGCGGCGGCAAAGGGGACAGACGCAGGGCTACGCTTTCCGCCAGCGGAAGGCAGCCCAGGCTGCTACAGTGGGGTCGGCCTCTTTCTGGTGCCTCCGGTGGAGTTGAAACGTACAAGGAAGCGGACTCATCCCACCCCCACCTCACGGCCCGGAGGCCGGTTCTTCTTGGCCCCCACAGGCCGCCTCCTTTTTCTTCCCCAGCCCCTGGACGCGACTCTTAGGGTTCCGCTCTGCGGGGAAGGCGGGGCCGGGGCGGGGTAGAGGGTGTAGGCTCCTCCCAGTAAGTGGGCGTGGCCTCTGGGTGGGCTGTCTTACCTGTGCCCCTCAGGCCGGCTCCAAGGCTTCCGCTCCGGGTGGGGGTGGGCCGGAGGGCGGGCCAAGGGCACCAGGTGGTCACGGCGGGAGAGCTTGTTTACCTTGACTCGTCTAGGGTTGGCAGCCAGCCAGAGAGGGAAGGGACTCAGGGAGACAACTTGATTCCCGCCCGGAGTTGGGTTCTTCGGAGCTCTTCTGGTCCTCCCGTTTTTACTTACCCCCCCAGGCTGGGATTTGGAGGAGTCCGCTCCGCGGAGGGGGCGGGTGCAGGGCCGGGGACTGGGCGGGGCTTAGTCTGGCCTGGGTGGGCTCTTAGGTGGCAGGGGTGGGTAGGCCTTCTTCTGCCGCCCAGGGTACTTTTCACCACCATCTCGAGACAAAGGAGGCGTGGCAGGTGTGCCCTCGCCCTAAACCGGTAATCCAGTTTCCCGCTTCCTCTACGGGGCGTCCTACGGCCCGCGATCTTCGAGAAACCCGCCGGCCTGGTTGAGGCGTGGCCGCCGTAGCGCCAGCCCCCGTCTCCGCCCCCGCACCTCCCAGGAGTGCGAAACTCCGGTTGGCTTGCGTTACAGTCATAACTGGGGTCTATCATTTTGAAAAATCTCGCCTTCTTACCCGGCCCCATCCCGAAAACTGACTGAGGCTGAGCGTCCCGCCTCCACGCAGCAAGTCCCGCGCCCTGGCGTGGTAGGATCGGAGAAATGCGGAGCAGGAGCAACTCTGGGGTCCGCTTGGACGGGTATGCGCGGCTAGTGCAGCAAACCATCCTGTGTTACCAGGTAAGGAGGACTCACCCCCGAGGGAAAGCTTACAACTGCCCTCTCATATCACTCATTCTCCTCCTCAGGCCCTTGTCCCCTCTTCTCACCTGAAACTTTAAGGTTAAGAGGTTTCCTATTTGGATACAGTCTTTACCAGCCAGTGATTACCTCCCCATCACCACCCTGTTCTTCATAGGAGTTCAGCTAACGGTTGCTGAGCTACACTTCACAGAATTCTTCAGCCATTGTTCAGGGTCAAAGGCAGAATGAAGCCTTCTCGGTGCCCTGAGTACAAAATGCATCTTTTTGCATTGGCTTTGGTTTTTGTTTGTTTGTTTTGTGCGAGAGAGGACGTGTATGTAGGTTAGACAGAGCCCATTGAATGAGGACAACGAACTCTGGGCCACAAGGACAGTAGATAGGAGTGAAGAAGTTCCTGAGGTTTGGAAGGGCTGTCTTACCTGTGTCTTGTCTTACCTTACCACACCAGAGTGTGGGGCAACTGCTGCTGTCCCTCCCAAGAGTTGTTAGAGACCCACTTGTGAGAGCCCTAGGGCCTACTCTGGTTGCTGTTTTACAGATTAGAAAACTGCAAGGCCAGAAAGGGTCAGACCCTAAGGCAGCTCTTCTGCTCCCAAGTTCAAGAGATCCTATGAAGCTGCCCAGGTGTTCTGAGATAAGAATATGCCTGCTGTGCTTTGTATAACTAGTCTAAAGTTATGTGTGGGTCCATCATGTAAGACCACTGAACTATTTTTATTTCTAGTGAAGACAGCAGCTATGTTATTTGTCTTCAATCAACAGCAACTATTTATAGGGCCTTCAGAGTCAAAGAAGGAAGTGGTATTCGGGGGTTTAGAGGCCTGGCCTGCAAAGTGGGAGACATGGTCACTCCCAACCCACTGACTATTTTCCCTTCTTAGCTAATTTCTTAGCCTTGTTTTCTCATTCAAGAAATATATGTTGTTCATCTGTTACATGCAAGACACTCTACAAAGTGCTGGGCTTACAAAGACGAATAAATGATCATAGTGCAGTGACTTCTGTGCTTACAGTATAGGTCTATAGTCCCTAACCTGAAAAAGCTTTGGGGCCAGGCACAGTTTGCTAGTCAGAAATCTTTGCTTTTTAGAAAGGTAATGTGCACATAATGTACTATATTTACTAGAATAACTGCAGCCCAGTCTGGGCAGCACCCCTTAATCAAACACATTGTTTCCACATCCAAGTATGAGTCTTCACACCAAGTGGAGTAAGTTAAAACTAAAAAGAGTTTCACATTAGTTCAAGTCCATCTTTTGGCACCAAAAAAGCTTAAGAAAACACTTTAAATTTTCAGAGTGTACTGGTTTTTGAGATTGCACATGAAGGGTTGTGGTCTGCATTTGGGGAGCTTTGAGGAAGGACCCCAACCCAGTTTCTAGAGGCAGGAGTCCTGAAAAAGGTGATGTTCACGTGGAGAGCTGAGGAAGCAGTAGGCAGGCAAATGGAGATTTTTGCCTTCCTCTTTGGACTACATTATAATTACATCTGTAAAGTGTTTTAAAAGCAGAGTTGAAAAGCCTTTCTCTTTGTTACTGTGATGGAAGGGGCTGTAAGGAGAACTAATGAAGCTTGGTTCTTTTGTCAGAGCTGAGTTTGAATCCCTAGTTCTGCCTTGAAAGAAAGACATGTATAACCTTTATTCATCCTTTCTGAGTCCATGTCCTCATCTGTAAAATGAGGGTAATAACACCACCTTTTTTTTTTTTTTTTTTTTTTTGTAGAGACAGAGTCTCACTTTGTTGCCCTTGGTAGAGTGCCATAGAGTCACACAGCTCACAGCAACCTCCAACTCCTGGGCTTAAGCGATTCTTTTGCCCCAGCCTCCTGAGTAGCTGGGACTATAGGCTCCGGCCACAACGCCCGGCTATTTTTTGGTTGCAGTTCGGCCAGGGCCAGGTTTGAACCTGCCACCCTCAGTATATGGGGCCGGCGCCCTACTCACTGAACCACAGGTGCCACCCAATAACACCAGCTTTCACTGAGTGTTTGTAAAGAAAAAATTAGTGCCCAGTACATTGCCTGGCACCTAGGATGTAATCAGTAAATAACGGGTGCTCTTGGCAGTATTACGACTTTGATTTAGGCCACATATTAATGCTCGGGCCTAGGGGTCCTGCCTGACCATTGTGGCCTGCAGTGCTGGCCCGAAGGCCCTGACATAGCTACTATGTGTTTTTTGGTCCTCGAAGATAATTGTGTCTCTCCATTGATGCAGTGAGATCTTAAATACAGAGACCTCATCAGTTCTGTTCCTTTCATCAAGCAGTGCCCTAGGTGCATGAAAGACACCCTTCAGTCCTTGTTGATAAAATACTTCCTGCAGGGTCTGAGCCAACTATTGGTCCAAGCTTGCCTTCTCTCAGGAGCAAAAGCACTGTCTTCTCATTCAAGCAATTCTGCTGGGTTGGACTTTCCTCTCCAACATTTTAATGATTAAAAAAATGTTGTCTGAGCCTTTAGTTGTATTTATTTTGGGGGTAGTTGGTGAGAAGCCCTCGTGTTTGCCCTATTTTTCCCTTCCTGGGTGCACTGTCAAGTTCTCTGCCTCCCCAGAACACACCAAGCACAGTTCTGCTGGGAAGTCCCATGAGTCTACAAGTGCAGAATTACACCCATTTCCCCAACAACCATTAAGTTGTAGAGCCTTAATCCATTCCTGGCCCCCTCATCTTCTCTGAGTGATCTTAGGCAGTGTTTAACTCTGTAAAAACAAATGAGCAGGCTTGGCACCTGTAGCTCAGTGGTTAGGGCGCTGGCCACATGCACCAAGGCAGGTTCAAACCCAGCTCAGGCCTGCTAAACGACAACGACAACTACAACAACAAAAATAGTGGGGCATTGTGGCAGACACCTGTAGTCCCAGCTACTTGGGAGGCTGAGGCAAGAGAATCGCGTAAGCCCAAGAGTTTGAGGTTGCTGTGAGCTGTGACGCCACATCACTCTACTGAGGGCGATATGGTGAGACCCTGTCTCAAAAAAAAGAGCAATTTTATGTTATGTAAATTTTACCACAATGAAAAAATAAATGAGCAAGATTAATGGTTTCTGAAGTTTATGTGGTATCTATCACCCCATCTTTTCCTGTAGACACGTGCGGGTGTTTATGGGTATTCTCCCGTGCAAGCTCTGAACTGGTACAAGCTCTGAACTCTGTTTCTGATTTGCTTTCTAAATGGAGATCAACTTACATTGGTTTCATTTGTTAGAAATCATTCCATCTTAAATATGTCAAGCTAATCATCACTCTTCTGTTAGAAGAGTTTGTTCCTCTCAGCTAACATCTTCACCAATTCCTTTTCCTGGGTCCGTGAAAGAGAACTTTTCCCCTTTGTCATTTACCAAGGTTTATACGTACTGATAAATACCATTTGAATCTTTCAGGCAAAGAAGGAAAGAACTATGTTTATAAGAGGGTCCTTTTGCCGGTGTGATTTTTGTAAATATATACCTTAGTCAATATCTTTAAACATTTGTTGGCAGGGAACAAGAAATTTTTAGATTATTTTGGCTCGGATAAAAACTACTAATTTCACATACTTGTTCACTAACAGCACTGCTTGAGGACTCATTAGTAGTAGAAGCATTCATTATGGAGTCATGATAAGAGAATGTGAATCAGAAAGCAAAATAGCGATCAAGGCAGTGTTCACCATAGCTGCAGATTATTTGGTATGATAAAGCAAATAATTAAGAGCCCAGGACAGTAACTAAATATTGCTATTTAATAGCAATGGAGTTTATAATGAGAAGAATGGAGTAAATATAATAAAACATGGAGTATGGAACAGATGGTAACAGTAATAAAGAGGAATTTGGGAGAGGAGGAAAAAACATGTAATTAAGTACTGAAAAATAATAATATGGCAGAAGAAAAGGAAGAGCCTGAAATTAAAGCATTCTAAGGCCTTTACCACATGAAGAAGGAGGAAAGGCTCAGTGCCTGTGGCTCAAGTGGCTAAGGCACCAGCCACCTACACCCAAGGTGGCGGGTTTGAATCCAGCTCAGCCACCAAACAACAATGATGGCTGCAACCAAAAAATAGCCGGGTGTTGTGGCGGGCGCCTGTGGTCCCAGCTACTTGGGAGGCTGAGGCAGGAGACTCGCTGGAGCCCAGGAGTTGGAGGTTGCTGTGAGCTGTGATGCCATAGCACTCTACCCAGGGGGACAGCTTGAAGCTCTGTCTCAACAAAAAAAAAAAAAAGGAGGAGGAGAAAGGTATTAGATCTTTTAAAAAGAGTTCATGTTGAAGCATTCCATTAATATAAATGAATATATAACTTTAAAAATGATAAAAGAATAAAGAAAATGTAATTTTCCAAGAGAAGGAAGGAAAAGGGTGCCTGGGAGAGTGGGAAGTGGGAGGAAAAAGCATAGTAAATAGAAAGCACAAAATAAGATGCAAGTAAGTCTCACTATTAGTAATCAGAATAAAAGTCAATCCTTAAATTAGCCAGCTAAAAGAAATGATTTTTAATTATTATTAAAATTAATAATAATTAAATTATTAAATAATAAATATAAATAATATTTATATTATTAATATCTATATATTAAATAATAGAATGATTAAATTATTTTAATTATTCTACATTTTAAATATAGAATATAAATGTCTTAACACAATAATGAAGAAAATGCAGTGAAGGCTATGTTAAACAGTTTGATGAAAGTATTTTAAATTGTGTATAAAACCAACACATTGTCCCCAACAATTGCATTAATGGACACAGCTATGATTTAATAAAAAAAAAATTTTAAGTATATGTAGTTTATAAGAGACAAAACCGACAACATAGGATACTGAAAGACTGAAAGTAATTTAGTGGGACAAGATACATAAGGCAAATACTAACCAAAAAACGCTGATGTAATTATATGAATATCAGACAGAGGAAGCTTTGACATTTTTAAAAATTACATTATTAGGGACATAGAATGTTATTACTACATGACAAAAGGATAATTCACCTAA